AGAATAAAGAGAATTTCAAGAACTTTAAAAACTATTTTTTTCATATATTATTTATATTTTTCTTAAGGATAATAGTAGTTATTAACAGGTTTTTGGAAGATCATTTCTACAATATATGGCTTTAAAAGATTGTGGACGGGCAGTGGTAGCACATGCCTTTAAACCCAGCACTTGGGAGGCAAAGGCTGGCGGATTTCTGAGTTTGAGGCCAGCCTAGTCTACAGAGTGAGTTCCAGGATAGCCAAGGCTACACAGAGAAACCCTGTCTCAAAAAACCGAAAAGCACACAAAAAAAACAAACAAAACAACAACAACAAAAAAAGATTCTGGGATGTTTATATCTGAAATCTACAATATATAAAATGAGCAAACCTATATGGACAAATATGGAATAATTAAACATTGTAAATTTTTAAGACTAAATTATTAACATGATGCAGAATCTAAAAGTTATCATTGACCATATGTAGTAACACAAAGAAAACGTTGTAGTGTGAAAATATAGAACGAAACTTTTGCACATTATTTTACAAGGCTGCTACAATATGAATAGATTATATGTTTCTTAACCCACTCCGATAATGACATCAATTAGAGTTGGAAGAAGTTACTTGCATCAAGCCCGAGTATCACAAATGCAATACAGAAAGGATAAGCAAAATCATGTGAACATTACTTTAGGAAAATAGCCAAATGACAGTTGGGTAAGATAAATAAAAGTCCCTGTGGCACAGCAAAAAGAAAATCACCTTCCTTTCACAAACGATGCAATTTACAAAATGCTGACAGGTCACATGAAACTCCTTTTCCTGAATCACCTGGCCATGAACTGTGTTGAAAATGTAGCATGAGAAGTTTGGACCTGTAGTGAAGCGGATTCCCATGTGCTCTGAGCCTGTACTGGAAGCCCATCCCTAGAATTTAGTGTAATTATATATTTCTTCCACTCCCAGCTTATTTTTTAAGAAAACAAATAATTTAGTTAAAACAGTTAAAAACAATCTCAACAGATAATGAGCACAAATGCCATGGGAAAATAAAATAAAAGACATTGAGAAAAACCAGAAGCCCATCTCATTTTCCAGGACTCTCATTGAAATATCATCTTTTCCTGGGTATATCTTCCATACAATTTGATGATTATTTTTAAATACAAACAAACAAACAAACAAACCTCTTAAAAGCTTGCATTTTCCCAGAGAAACTGTGCTACTTGAAACAAGAATTAGAAATATCTATAAATGCAGGCATCTTCCACATGAAGATAGACCTTTAGAGTCATTTTCTTAATGTCATTCAATGTGATCTTCCTTTATGGGAATGAAGAATGCACTGGCCATTCACTAGGAGCATGTTATTATTGTCATTATGAATCCATTAGACATATTCAGGCGAGCTAAGTAGCAGCCCTGTGACCAAATTCTCCTTCCTTTGCTTTTAGTGAAACATTTGATAAAAAATGGTCTGCCCCTGATTTACTTTCTGCTTGTAGTAAAAATTTAAAAAGAATAGAAAAATCTTGTCCTTTGTCCTTAGATATCAATAGAGGCGTTAGCTGCTGGTGATGAGTTTGAATAATTTAGCTGCAGTATTTTTTGGTCATTTGTTGTAATAACCAGTAAACGCATATAAATATATTTATGTATGTTTTCATTATCATTATATAAGGTAGAATATTGTACTATAGAGATAAACAGCCTAAGTGGGAAGGAGTCTAATGCTTAAGAGGTGTTCATAGTTTTCATTGTCTTTGTAAGTTTTAGCTTTACTATTTAAAACAGACACACACACGCACACACACAGACACACTCACACATACATATGTACATATATACATATACACAGAAATAAATTAATGTCCAAAATAGATCCATAGATGATTTCAGAAGATCATAATTTTCTTTGAAAGCTCTCCTGAAACATTTTACTATGATGTTAAAACAGTTCGTACCCAGGCACTTCTTTCTGCCTAGTGGTTTTCTTTGCTATTGAAGCTGTTTTCTCCCATTCTCAACAAGCCATGAAGATATTAAGGAACCCTATCTCCTTAACCCTCATCCAGTGATATAGGAACTACCATATGGGTTCTAGTTTTTTTCACTTTCCCAGAAACTGTCAACCAATGAAGTTATATGAGAATAGTAGGCTTAACTTTCTTAATTCTTTAATTGGACAATGAGTACTAGATTGTAGAGCTTCTCCAAAGGAAAAAAAAAATCACAGATCACTGTGGTAGGTAGCAGTTCTGTTGTCTTATTTCCGTACTCCCCTACTCATGAATCATCCAACTCTAGCGTAAATTACTTCTGCTTAGGTATTTCATGAGCAGCTTCTGCTTCGGGGAGAGCTTAAACTCAGACACATCAAACTTAATGCTTTTACTATTACTGAATGGCTTGTAAACTCCACTCTGTCCTCTGGCTCAACTTGTACAAAGTTTTGCCTACATGAACCTTCCCTTTTAGTTTGAGTTGTTACTTAATCCTTAAAATACTCTGTGGTTTGTCTATAATCTACAAATGAAGGCACAGAATATAGTTATACATTTACATGAAAATTATGCTAACATACTTAAATACTGCATTCACCATCAATGTTGCCTGTCGAAAAGGATTTAATTGGTGTGGTGGTATCTTTTCAATATATTAAAATAGGTTACCAGGATAGTAGAAAATATTTCTGCTTTCCACTTATCAAAACTCTGCCAGTAGCAAGCCAGCAAGCAGTTAATCTAGCATCTCTCCAAAAGAAGGAAAGACATATCCAAAACAAAATTCTTAATTTCTTAGCTTAAAAAGAACAGATTTTTTTTTTAGTCTGTTAGTTACCAAATCCATTATCTATCTAGGAAAATGATTACTTTCAGGCTCAATCAGAGGCTCATCTAAAATTCAACAGAAAGCTAAGACTTGAAGCTACCATTCTACTCCTGTTTCCATGGGAATAGGCTTCAGATCAAGGGGAAAGGGAATGGATGAATGGGGTTAGGAGCTTTCAAATAATCATTCGAAATCATGATGAGGTTTTTAGAGCTTCTTTTTTACGTGATTATTTTGTAGCCTCTTAACCCTCTTTTGCCAGACTGTTTCCATGGAAATATGACTGTTCAAGCCTCCAGCAGAGATTATTAGCATTCTTGTGAATTACAGCTTTAGTTGTAGCCCAAGGTGGCCAAGTTTGATCTTCTATCAGTTATATATATGAACATCCAGTTTTTATTTACCATAATAATTTTTTGGTAATTTCTATTTAATTTGAAAGTTTCAGTTTCCTTCCTCAGTTTATAGTCATGATCTAGTTCAAACTGAATGATCAGGGAAACACTGAAAAAGGCTTCAGTTACGAATGAGCCAGGAATTAACTGCAGGGAGTATAGTAACCTTTAGAGACCTGCTGAAAAAAATATTTAGTTACCAGATAAGTAATATTTATTATAAAGTGTTGCTAGTTAGGCAAGAATGGTGGTATTTTAATTATTTAGCAACTGATATGCACTGAGACCATTCTTTAGAGTCGCTTGCTTGTACATTTTTCAGTCCTACTATGTAATAAGCAATAGTAAATTAAGCTAAAATAGCCTCATGAAAGATAGCATTATTCTCAAAATTTTCAAGGTCATATACTGAGCTTCTATAAAACCCTGAAGGAGCTTTCAAGATAGACTGGCTAAGAATGCGTAGCAATCTGTCTTGAAAAGAGGCAAAGTGCGTTTGCTTGTATCGTCTTTATGTAAAGGTCACTTTGAAATCAAAATCATTCTTATTATTGAAGACATTATGTTAAAAGACAGAGAAAGAATGTATATGGGTCTATTTCAGAATCCCTAGTAAGATATCAATGTGAAAAATAACAGCAGGCTACACATAAAATTTTATTCAACCCTACCTTCTAAAATTTGAACAGCTCAGTCTACGACTTTCTCTGGGGGAAATCTTCAAGTTCTGATCCACTTAATCAAGATCTTTCATTACTTAGCAGTTTTTGTTATTATTATTATAAGTTGAATCTTTTGCCATAGCCCACTTTGATGAATCTGGATTGCAAATTTCACTTGAGAACTTAAGTTTAAGTAGATAGGATTCTGTTGAAATACAGGAGCGACTGACATACTATCATCACTAATTTTGATTGTCTTTGTCTCAATAAATTATAACACTAGAAAATGTTAAACATCTGAATTAATTTTTTAAAGCAACCTCATGACTTGCATAATGTGGTTATCACATTTGTGGTTCTGAGAGTGTGTCTGCTCCTAAAACTAAACTTTTTTTTTCAATCTCATTTGTGTAACATTTTCTTGGAGCACAGGTTGACAAATTTACATAATGTTTTGTCCTAATTATCTATGTTTGCCTTTCTACCAAAAAGGGCAGGGCTGAGGTATTGCTATAATGTGGATAAGTAAATCCTCACAATTCTCTGCTCCTAAAGAAAATATTTCTGGTTAAATTTGGCTGACTACGCATCATTTCTCCACTTTGCAAAACTTAGATAACCTTGGTTTGTTCTTTCAACTTGGTGATATGAAAGATCATTTGTAAAATATTTAGAACACTATTTGGAACCTATTGCAAACTTTTCCAATAATATATAGTTTCAGTATTTTATAATATTACCTAAATACAAATGATTTACTATTATCACGATCAAGTATTTTTGACACCGTTGTAACTGCATTTAGTAAATGAATTTCTGATTATAATCTAAAGTATGAAAACTGAAATATCACATTCATGATTCACATAAGGAAATTCAACATGAGGATTATAAATATCTTTATATTACCAAAGTTATCCTAGAGTGTAATCACAGTAGACAGCTGCAAACCATGGATGTTCTGAAAGATAAATGTAAAGTGAAGGGGTCCTAAAATTTTAAATATGAGATTATAACATTTATAGGTAAAAACCCTTAAAAGGTGGTTGCCTTTTTCTTATTTTATTTTCAAGCATGAGGTTTAATTATAAAGAAAAATTATGACTATGTACTTGTCTACTTACATCCATGAACTCCACATTGGCTTTGGGGCCAGTTGTCTCATTGAGGATCTTAATAGCCACGGGGATTTTCACTGTTTCACCTTCAGGCACCCAAATACCCTTTCAGGGAAAAAAGTTACATTAATTCTATATTGAGATTACATAATATTTATAACAAAATATGGTTTGATTTGGCTGATCAAGCTTTAAATTTAATTTACTTCATTTTATGAATTATTGTCCAAATACAACATTTCTCCCTCCTCTTTCTTCCCATTAAACCTTTTATAGCCCTGCCCAGTCTCCTTCAGGTTCATGCCCTACTTTTTAAATTATTTGCTATTGCATGCAAACATATATAATTATAAACATATATAATTCATATATATCAATATATTACATATAATAATATTCGAGAACAAATTCTAGGGTATATTAAATCGATAGAGATTTATCTATTTATTAAATTCTGTATATTAATGATTGTCTCTGGATTCATATTAGTACTTATATTGATCGTTGGCAATTCAATCTTATTATGAACATAATTCCAGAATTTAGGGATTAGGACAATATTAAAAATGTAGACTTTAAGGTATAAAATAAATAATAGTGTTCCTGGGAAAAGTTATCACTTTAATGAGGACAAGGATTTTTATAGGATAGCTAAGAATGCATTGATCATTGATGATTTTTTTAAAAAAGTATATATTTAAAAAATAATACAGAAACACATATGAGGATATGACAGCCAGGAACCTCATGATTAACTATGACAGTTTAACTTTGAAAGGCAAAGCTATTGGCTACAGTTCTACCTTCTCTATCATCTGGTCACAGTGTTAGAGAGACACATAGCATAGGTAAATGTGTTTGTATTAGCCAAAGTTAGAGTAATAGAGGAGACATAAGTACGAGAACTGTTGAATAGTAGCAACAGTTAAGAAAAGTGCTTTAAAACTTCAGGATGAGATTTATGATCATGTTTGACTCAAGCAGAGTCAATATGGAAATATATGTGCACAAATGCAAAACAGTAACATAATTTATCTGTGGTATAATTTTTAAAAAGTGTATTCAAGCAGAAGTGGGGGGATGAGAAAGAAAAACAACTAAGTACCTAAAACCTCAGGCTATATTTTCTCAGAGTTGGTATCTAGGGCATGGAACATGCTTACCATTATTCAATAAAATAACCACACAGGGAATTACTTTATAAAACAATGGCATCAATATTAAAATATTCTTAAAGTGTAGTCTTATAATGAGAATATAAATTCGGTGTGAATTAATTTGTACCACTTTTGGAAAAACTTTAAACATTACTTAATTGACCTAAGCATGTAAAATTTAACTAAGTTTACCTATATTGGTCCTAATATTTTTTGTTGAAGCATCACAAAGCTTCAGTTTGAAGGAAAAATTAACCAAGTATGTACCCAGGCCACTGGCATTTGTGTGGCCACCAAAATTTTTCATAGCTTAAGAGAGTGTGTCTTACAATGTATGATACATTTATGAAAGCATAGGGCTGGCAACACATATTTCAGAAATACAATTTAAATAAACTGATGAAACTTCTAATAACTTTTCTATAAACACTAATTAGTTTACATACATTCAGTTTTGTCAATATGACATGTAGAAATGATTGTAAACATAAAACACATGGAAAGAAATTATTAAAGGTTTCTGTCGACTCTCCCATAACTAGCTCTGAAGGCCTCATTGATATTAATGTGTATGAGAAGTCAAGCAATTATCAGATAAATCATCAGGCCAGTGGGAGGCAAAAACCTTTATATGGAATGAAGGAAGGAGTATACATGGTAAAGAAATATTTCTGAGAGATAGGAAATAAGATAGTAGTGATTCAATTAGTTACTTCCAACATCTTTACTTAAGATAACATTTAGGATTATGTATAAATTATTCCAAATAATTTTATAGAAATTTTCATTAAAATACATTAACGTTCAAATTATTAAACAAAATTGAATTCAAATTTTAAGTTTAAAATTGCATAGTGTCTTTTTTCCAGCATAATTTAAAGATAGATAAAGGATAACTTCTGTGTTTTGATCTTGCAAAGAATTTGAAGATCAGAAAGACAAAACCAGCCTAGACTAGAATCTGTGCAAATTAGACACTCAGTTAATGATTTAACTGAACAAAATATGCACAACAAAATGATAGGAAATTTATACAATTTGATCTCCAAAGGTAACTATTTTATAAAGATTTGCAAATACCCAGGAAAGGAAAATTTAGGTCTGATGTATGACCAAACTTTATTATTTTTGTAATAAATAAATCATTATTTTATGTTATTTGAGATTTTGAAACACTTTCTCACTGAATTGTCTAGGCTGGTCTCAAAATTTTTAGCTCAAATAATTCTGGCTCAAGCTCACAAGTTTGAAGTTACAGGTGAGAGGCCAAACCTACTCCATCTTGAAACTGGCCTCCATCTTGAAGGAAAGAAATAAAGGAATAAAGAAATAAAGAAATAAAGAAAGGAAGGAAGGAAGGAAGGAAGGAAGGAAGGAAGGAAGGAAGGAAGAAGGAGGGAGGGAGGGAGAGAGAGAGAGAGAGAGAGAGAGAGAGAGAGAGAGAGAGAGGAAGAATGAAAGAAAGAAAAGAATGAAGCCTGAGAACTTAACTCAAAGCTGAACCCAAGCTGTACCCAAGTACCAGGAAGGATCCCATGGCTTGTCCATGTCCAGAGTTACTCCCTAGCTACTTCCTAGAAACAGTTAATCAAAGACTAGTCTGATTGTTTCAGATGTACTTTCAGACAGTTCATGATTGTATACGGTCTCACTTCAGACCATCCATCTGTGGGCTTACAATGGACATTTAGTTAGATGCTTGTCAGGCTGGGCACTCTCTCACTTTTTCCCATTTTCTTATAAAACCTTGTCCCTATGAGGGTTCAGGGCTGCTTCACCAAACCATCCTGTGGCTCAGCTGTGTGCTCATACTCCAGTTTGTAATACAGAAAGTCTAATGTGATTATATTGGAGTTGCCTCCTTGGTGGTCTTTTGGGGTTCATGAAAGCTTCCTAGCACAACACAGGTATATATCACCATAACAACTTAAATCATCTTATTAAGTAGGGAAAGCATTGAGCATTTTGAAATATTAAATTCCTAAATTTCAATCTACCTATCACATGTTTTGTTAAAATCAAAGATAAACATATCATTTGGAATATATACAGTAAGCTGCAAAAGCAAATTGTACTATAATTAATTTTTAAAAACACAATTGTAAGGGCATTAAGATACTAGTATTAACTACTAATCCATATATGTAATCCGTTATAAAAATGTTATAATGGTCTCATTTTAATAACACTTTTTGCACATTCATATGGATTTCAAGTGATCGATTAGTAAGGTACTGACAGGGCCTAGAATAAAAGGGCAGAAAGAAGAGTAAAGGATTGTGGGAGGTTACTCTGGAAGTTCTGAAAGCACAAGATGCAATGACTAGGGGGAAAAGGTTGAGTATTTGGGGAAAAAAAATGAAATTTGCCAAAGAGAAAAAATTGTTGAGAAGCTCAAAGGGCATTGAAAGGACTCTACTAGGCTGAGCCCCTGCAGCTCTCTTTCTCTAGAGACTGCACTTAGCCAAGCTTGTTCAATAAACATGAATGAATTTCCCTGTGCAGCAACTTCTCAACGCTACTAAGGTTGGATATTAAAAAGAAATTAAGTAGCAGAAGACTTCCTTGTCTAGCCTCAGTGGGAGAGGATGCCCGGAGTCCTGTAGAAACTTGATCCACTAGGGTATGGGAAAGCTGGCAGGGGTGAGGTGGGGTGAATGTTTGGGTGAGGGAGCATCCTCTCCGAAGCAAGGAAGAGGGAGAAGTGGGTGAAGAACTCGGAGAGAAGGGGACCAGGAAGCAGGGCAATATTTGGAATGTAAGTAAATAAAATAATTTAATAAAACAAAAAAGATATTAGGTTGGCTAAAGTAATTACTTTGGCTATTATTTTTTAAAAGCCTGAAACACAACGTAAATAATTGACATCGCACATACTGTGTTTTACTTACTTTATAAACTGTTCCAAAAGCTCCCGAACCAAGGACTTTTACCCTCTTAAGTTCTGTTTCCTTCAAAATGCGAAGTTGAGCCTGATTGGGTGCTGTGCCACTGGGGGTTAAGGGCTCTACCAGCTGCAAAGCAAAAGCAGAGAGTGGTGTATCTTTCATTCATACTCAGTTCTGCTTCTTGCCCTCAGCTTCTTTTCTAATGCTTTTAGAAGAATATGTTGGCACACATTTCTTTGACAAACACTACGACTGTAATATCAGCCAGGGTCCCATCCTGTCTTTGCACCTGTTCTTGGTCTAGGTGGACTCAAATGTTGCATCTATTCAACCACTAAGAGGCATGCTGACTAAAAGATATGATGCTAAGTACATAACCAAAGTAAAAGGAGACAAACTACAACAAAACCAGAAATACTCCCTTCTTAGCATTTACAATAATTGAAAGCAACCATGTTCCCATTAGAAGGGGATTGTAGTTAATGTGGTGCTAATCTTTGGACACTAAATACATGAAATATATGAGGTTCTTGTGAAGTTTCAATTCCTACCCGAGGAAGCCTGAAGTTCTACAATTTTTTGTGTGGACCACCAGCTGTTATCTATTAATGATGGTGAGTTGTGAACTCATTTTAAGTAGTGACTTCAGTAGAGAGTTTGGTTCTAGACTATAAATATGCTTTGGGGCACAAAGGGATGCAATAGCAAATGAGGGTGAAGGCTTTCTAGTTCTGGCTTCTAAATAGCTGTGTATTAAGATATGTCTTAAGATAATGAAAATAGAATGACATTAAAACCCCAGATGTCCCTCAACAGAAGAATGGATACAGAAAGTGTGATTCATGTATACAATGGAATGCTCTTCAGCTATTAAAAAAGGAGGGCATCATGAACTTTGCAGGTAAACTTACGGAACTAGAAAATATTATCCTGAGTAAGGTAACTCAGACCCAAAAGGACATGCATGGTATGTACTCACTGGTAAGTGGTTATTAGTCAAAAAGTACAGAATACCTAAGATACAACCCAGAGATTGTAAGAAGTGTAACAAACAGAAATGCCCAAGTAAGGAGGTGTCAATCCTACTTAGAAGTGGGAGTCAAATAATCATGACAGACAGAGGGAGGGAGGGACATGCATAGAAAAGGGGTGGGAAATGAGAAAAGGGGAAAATGATAGATATGGGGTGGGGAAGGTACAGGAGAAAAGCCCAGAGGACCAAGAGAATGAACAGAAACTAACAGCCTCAAGAAGTGGAAGGTTGGGGGACCCTCTAGAAAGTACCAGAGACCATGGGGGATGAGACACACTCAGGACTTATTGGGGGTAACCTTAGCCAAAATGCCCAACATTAGGGAATGGGAACTCTGAAGAGTCTATCTCCAGTAGATAGACATGGCCTCAAATGGAAGGACAGGGTAACTAACCCACAGTTAAAATTCCTGACCCATAACTCTTCCTAAAAGTCTAAAAGTACTGCAGGGACAAAAGTAGAGAAGAGACCGAAGGAAATGCAGTGCTGTGACTAGTCCAACTTGGGATCCATCATGGGGGTGGGGGGTACCAAGGTCTGACAGTACTATAGTATGTTGTGTTTACAGGGCCTGTGATGGGAGCCTGGCATGCCTGTCCTCTGAGAGGGCATAGGGCTACTAGCAGCTGACTGAGATAGAAACAGATACTTATATCCAACCATTTGACTGAAGTCAGGGACTTCTATGTTTGAATTAGGGGAAGGATTGAAGAAACTGAAAGGGAGAGCGACCTCATAGGAAGATCAAAAGTCTCAACTAACCCAGACCCCAGGAAGCACCCAGAGACTGAGTAGCCAACTAGGAGCATACATGGGCTGGTCTGAGGCCCATAGCACATATGTAGCAAAAGTTTGGCTGGTCAGGCCTTAGTGTAAGAAGATGTGCTTAATTCTTGAGGCCCTAGGGAAGGGAGAGGCTTGATGGGTGGAACACCCCTTGGAGGCAAGTGGGAGGAGGAATGGGATGAGGAATGGTGGCAGGGGGGACCAAGAGGGAGGCAACAACTAGAATGTAAATAAAATACTTTTAAAAAAGTAATAAAGAGTTTGGAGGTAGCATCAGAGTGAAGGAAGCATAAAGATATAAAACATCAGACACGAGATGAATATAATGAGTAAGATATGAGTAAGAACAGACAGCTCAAGAGAGGGCTGAGTGTGGCCAACATGTATATGAGTGCTCTATCTGCATGTACACTTATCTACATACTAGAAGAGGGCATTAGAACTCACTATAGATGTTTGTAAGCCGTGATGTGGTTACTGGGAATTGAACTCAGTACCTCTGAAAGAGGAACCAGTGTTCTTAATCATGCGCCATCTCTACAGTATCTGACATAATTGTTAAGATGCCATTTAGCAGAAGAGTAATCATTGGTATAGGTGAGACAGTGTCTAAATTAGTACAATTCAACCATAGTTTCACATTCTGAAATTTCAGCTATCTGTATTTTGGAATGTTAACTGGAAAATAATAAACTTAAAATTTCAGAAAAAAATCGTAAGTTTAAAATAATTTTCATTAAAGCAATTGATTTATTTTTATCAATAATACCTGTCATTAACTTATTATGTCTGATATGTAAATCAAACTTTATCAATGTTATGCATGTATAGGAATAAATAGTATATATTAACTTCATTATTTTCTAGTTTCAGACATCCCTTGGTTTTAGAAGGCATCACCCTTGGATAAAGAAATTTGTTGTACTGCAGAGGGTTTGAGGGACCCAAAACCTACATCATGGAAAAACATTTTGTTATAAATTGGGCTCGAAAAAGAGAAGTAACAAGCTTTAAAAAATTCGATTCTTTTTATAAAAAGGAATTAAAATTAAAAAAATCAATGGAACAAAAATATAGTCTGTTTTATACTTTGCATGAGAAAGTAATTGAAGATTACTACTACTCAAATTGTCTAGAATCATGACGGTATTTCAAGACAGCTGTTTACGAGGCTAACTGTGCTGTGGCCCTCCTTTCTGGCCATTATCATCATGCTTCTGTGAACATCATGATCCATTAAACCAATGGAGTGGGCCTGAGTTTAGTGGATACAGAGGTAGCAAGGATTTTAGGAAAAGCATGATAAAAACTATCAACAAAACCAGTCTATTTTCTAAGAGTTTGACAAGAAATTTCACATTTTACCACTTTCTCATTTTGTATTATAAAAAAATACATTAGAACATTAAGAATTTGAGTAGGTCAAGAATACAATCTCAGAATCACAGAATTTTATATTTTAGAAAACAACAGCAACAACAATTTTTTTTAAAGTCCTCCAGCAGAGCTTGTCATTCCAAGCTACTCTACAGGACTTGGTGGCAGATATTTTAGATGCTATGTATGATTCATAACATGTATGGGTACATGTGTGTTTATACACACATGTATCTGTGTATATGGTGGGTATCCAGAAGACAAGCTATGGTTTCATACTTCAGGTACTGTCTATCTTTTGGGGAATACTATGTTTGTTACAGGCTTGGCGTCTGCCAAGTACATGAAACTGTCCTGCAAGTAAGTTCAAGGGACCCACCTATTCCTGTGTTGGAATTATAAGCACATACCACCACCATAGTAAGATTTTATGTGGATTCTACGGATTGAATTCCAGTCCCCATGCTTATGAGGCAAGCCCTGTACTGACTGAGTCGTCTCCACAGCCCTATGATGAATAGCTTAAATGAACCAAAAAAAAATATAGAAATCACTTAAAAACACATGTAGAACTGGGGAGGAGGTTTCAGCACTTTGGGCAAGAGATATGTCCATGTGTATACGGAACATATTTAGGTATATATCTTGGGGTGTAGCACTCAACTGTATTCTGAATTACTCTGAATTTTCCAGCAGACTCAGATACGACTATCAGAACGAAGAAGTAGGATGGAACTCAGTAATGAACTACGACTGCACTATCTCCTCTAATAGTTCTCCCCTTGTCTCCGTACAATTCAAACTATCAGCTTGCATGCTAAAGAACTCATGTGTCAATATACACAATATGGTGCTAATCTATGGATAATTTTTATAACCTCAATATGTAACACACACTATTAAGTACATCCCATAAATGGTGTTAAAAGTCTTATCTTATGACAGCTCTAAGCTTTAACCTGTGTGCTCAGATTTTTCACTTTAGGCGTAATTAATAATTGGCTGCCAATTGAGGGATGCTAATTAAAGTGCACACAGCTCACACTTTCAAACAACAAATTTCTATTTATTTCTCACGTATACCATTGAGATGGCCTCTCCTTAGACACGCGCTGACTTCACAGCTACTAAGAAATCTTTTAATAAGGATAGGAATCTCCACACCACACCGAGCATCATCTAGGCTGTAAAACTTAAAGAAAACCCCCAAATTCATAAAGACTGGTGGAAATGTTACCTCTGTCTCCAGGAATCTCCTCAAAGCGCGTTTCTTTTTGATGCTCTTCCTTCTGACATAAACAGCAAATGTCAGAGCCATGATGACCAGGATGAAGAGGCCGCCAATGACTCCGGCTGCAATCAGTGGAGTTCTGCCAACCAGAATAAAAAAATAAAAATAAAGCATGAAGACAGAAAGACAGAGGAAGTGGAAAAAGCAGCTGCATGAGGCAATTTCCACACTTCATGAATCTAGTCATTTCAAACAAAAGCAAATAAAAAGTCACCAGGGCTGTGATAAAGCCTTTCCTATTGTAAACTGCAGGTTTTGTTTTGATTTTTTAATAATAAACCATGCATATATGATTAATATTTGGGGAAGAGCAACTATAGCATGCCATTTGGTGAAAACAAATTAGAAATCTGGACAAGGAATAAGGATCACACACTAAGCAGTGGGATGGGAATATTTATAATTACTTTGACTACTTTTCATAAGTAAATGAAAATGCATTTTAATAAACTGTTGCAGAGTATAATTTGATTTCATGAAGGCTACCTTAACAGTGGCACAATTGACCTTCTGGGCTGTTTACAAATGTGTTGTTGAAGTTACCTCATTGTCAATATTCAGTAGCAGCATCTCTCTTTTTTGGCCACAACAATATCCCTAGATATTGCCAAAAATCTATCCACATCACTTCTACTTGAGAACCACTTATCTAAAGTAAGAATGCCTGTTTGGGAGTGACTCAAGCTAATACATCTCTGGAATACAAGAGTATCAGTAATGAGTTGTTTATAACCAAAGCTCCTTGAAACTCTGATAAGAAAAATGCTGGTAACCTAACTGGAAAGAGAAAAATGCCAGGTCAGATGATTTTGGAATGGTGCTGACAGGTGTATGTATATTATAATTCGAAGTATGTCTAAGCACCACATGCTCATACATTTTCTGAACAGTAAATATTTCATCAAAACATATAAATGGTGTCCAGAAGATATTAAAGAGAGTTTACAGATTTTCACTCCTTGAGTTTTTTTCCAATGGATTTTAGCAAAGACAGAGATTTCAAGTTGATTACTTATTAACTAAAACAGTATTATTTCTTCTGTTTTGAAAATGTTCAGTTCCTTATGTAAAGGATATTAACTTTAGGTGGTAAGAGTTTTGAAGTGCATTAATTTCACATGACATAGCAAATAACCTAGACTGAAATATGATATTTCCTAATAAATATTTGACGATATGCACCATAGATGCCAAAAAGAATGATTTCCCTCATGTTCATATACTCTGTAATAAATCATTTTACATTTTATATCCCTACTTTCACAAGAACCTATTCAATAAAACTACATTCTCTAAAAGAATATTTTTATGCTTGCAAAATAAATTTTTACTCAAAGATAGACAAGAAATAATGAGAGTGGATGATTGTAAATCAGACCTTCAAATTCTAAAACACTCATGAAAAAGGCTGTGTAACTACTTTCACAAACGAAATCATGTCTTTAGAAGACGATGACTGCTCTACTGTCGTATGAAACTGCAGAAAACCTTAAAAAGTCATCCATCCTAAAGGTTGCTTCATGACAGCACCAACCATATCAAAATGTACCAATAATTCAACTAGATTTTCCTTAATGGGATTTCCTAAAGATATAAAAGTCTCTACTGAGAATATTAAACTATAGCAGAGACACAAACTTATCATCGTGATGTGCTTTTGTGTGCTTAGCAACATGTTTTTATCATGTCAGTTAAATATACTTTTGGAAATACGTTGGAATTTTAAGCCAAAGCATATTTTTCTACTAACTTCTTCATGTACTGATGAAAGGCCACTCATTTTAAAAGATTCTACTTTGTTACTGTGCATTTAAAAACTGTGGGAATCATTTTTTGTTTGTTTCTTTGTTTGTTGGATGAATTTTAGTGATGATAGCTTTGCATAGGATAGAAATAGACCCCTTTTTTCTTATTGCAGTACAGAGTAACTGTCAAGCCCTGGCAGTCCAAATGTAACATTCAGACTCAGTGGGATGTATTTTCTGGTTTTCTATATGATGTTTGCGTTAAAATTTTCACACAACAGTCCTTTCCTTGACACGTGTCTCCTCACTGTTTGCTTGTCTCATCAGCGATTTGGCAAGAATTGTAGAGGAACAAAACCTGAGAAATGGAGAACTACTATTTCTGCACTAAAAAATCACACAAAAATGTTTGGTTGGACATTTCACAGGGATAGTCTCTTGAAAAAAATATCAAACATTAACCCAATCCTATTTACACATGCCTCACCGCTGTCAATCTAGATGACTCTCAGTGATTTGTACGTGAGCAATAGAGGCATTAGTTTAGCCAAAGAGTTATGGCTTAACAATATTGGTTTTGTTTTCAAGACAAGATCTCACTATGTAGCCTAGGAACTGATTTGGAACTTATGATTCCCCTGCCTTAGCTTCCTGAGGGCTGGGATTATAGCTGTGTACCATCATCCATGACTAATCTTCACTCTTTATGAGGTCCTTTCAAAACAAGATAAAACTGGCTGAAACACATATTTAAATTCCTACGTATTTCTTTTGGATATATTATTATTGCAAACCAAGCTGACTTTGAGAGATTTCTTCCTGTGTGCTCCATGAATCTCTAATTAGCTCAGATAAGACACCATTGAGATCAAAAGGGTCAAACAGTAAGAGAGATGCAATTATTCTATAATTCCTTATCAATGACAGTTGCTTCTAATATTGGTTTGGCTTTGGGTGCCCATTCAAAAGTGACTGGCATTCTCAAGTGTATAAAAGAGTAATACATGTGCCAAGTTCAAACTCAGAGAAAACGGAAGTAACCAATTGATAGCACAAATTATGCTGTGATTTGGGAAAGGTATAATGAAATACATACTCACCCTACTACTTGTGAAAACTATCAGAAGAATTCTGAGCCACAAATGAATTTTTCTTAATTGACTTAAAAGTCCATACTTTAATGATTGTATTTAGAATTCAGAAATGATGAAGAGTATTTATTATTTTAAATTCAATTGCCTTATAGAAAGCAGTGTGTCCCAAAACTAAGCTATTTGTGTTTTACATGTAAAGTATTGTCCAATACCACATCTGAATCATAGTATTTCCCTCATATATTATATATGCTAATAGATATATAAATTCCACATAAACATCCATATGGGTTTTCTCATTTATCTATTTTTTAAAGACATCAAGTCATTAACATGTAGCAAAGTCAATACAACCTATGATTAAAACTCAAGTATTTTTTATATTTTGTTACACCTCTCGGATTTAATATTAATAAATAACTATACTTTAAAAGTGAAAACACTTGTGCTTTCTTTTTTACTAACATGATAAATCCCTGAAACATTTTAAGGACAAAACAAGTTTACCAACACATAAAAAGTTAATAAAATTTATAATATATTTATATTTATGATATAAGTATATTTACTCCTGATTTTGGAGTAAACCATGTTCCAAATTAGGATGAAACAAAGAACTCCTCATGTTATATCACTGATGCTGTATTTTGCAATTAGTGGCAAGGACTTCCACTTTTAGAAGTCTAACTAAATAATTTAGAATTTAAACTAATTAATTTGGAAACAAGTCTTCAGAATGTATTTTATCAGACTGGAACTGCCTCACTGTTTATTTATAGGCATTAAAGATTAAAAGTAAAAAAAGATGGTTCCTGGTGCATGTGTAAGGAGTTTAAAAACAACAGGAAAGCCTGACAGATTCTACAGGTATATTTCTTATATAGGAACACACTGTTTCAAACCTTCAGATTCTCAAATACAACACAATAGTGTAACCACTGGAAGGTGTTAAGCTTTTCACTTCTGTGGGGTTTTCTTTACCTTATTATGATATCACAATGTTGCAGAAAGATGGTTTAAAGTTAGACAATATTAATCCTGTTAGGTTATCTACCTTCAATTAGTTGGGTGCAGTGTCACTCTGGAACAACTTAGATAAATACACCAGAACATCCCTTAAACTAATAAAAAAAATATGCAGTTGGAAACTACCTGATCTATTGATTTCATGCATGAGAACTGAGGAATACAGTGTGATAAATGCCAGTATCAAATCAAATCCATCTAATGAATATCCTTTCCCATTTTGTCCAGTACCTACAAGTTGCACTCATCAAAGTACCCGTACATACACTCTCTAATCTCTGAATTGTCTCTCTGCACATAGTACCTGTGTGTGTGTGTGCATGTGCGTGTGTGTGTGTGTGTGCATGTGCCTAAAGACAGAATATCAGTAGTATTTCTACAAAGTATTTTTAACATTATTGTAGGAAATGACCATGGTTTCAGTACCCACAGATATAAGAGAAGGAAAGTCAAATGCCCTGGAGTTAGAGTGACAGGTGGTAGTTTGATGCCTGATGTAGTTGCTGGGAACTAAACATAAGTCCTCTGGAACAGCAGTGTGAACTCTTAAGCATTAAGTCATCTCCCTAGCCCCTCTACCAAGTTGTAATCATTATTATCTCTAATACATAAATATGGAAATTCAATGGATATATATTTCAGTTATTCAGAAACACAATATCAGATGCCATTGGATCTCATCTTGTGTCCTTTTTGAAAACCTTATAATAATATAGGAAAAGATGAAAAAGAGGTTTCAACATGCCTCCTTATTGAAATAGTTATGTTTCCTAAGTTGACTTTGCTATAAATAAGTGCTGTTGATTAAAAAAAAAACCTGCTTGTTGACCTTATTAAAACAAAATCCTAAGAATGTATTCAAAATTGCCAGCTGAGTCAAAGAGTATAACTTTAAAAAGTAAGAACAGCTTCAATTTTTTGTTATTTAGGTAAATACTTTAAATATGGTAAAAATTTTATTCAAATAAGAGGAACAATGGATTTAAGAGCCACTAGATTCTCAGGGTTATTATAAGGCATCATGAACAACTGTCTAACCACAGATAATCTAATGAAATGAGACTATAACGATTGTTTTCCTGCATCTCTGGGATAGGCTAGAAACTTAGTGCACTTGAAACTCTCAGGAATCTATGAAGTTGGCTCTAGCTAAGACTCCTAGTAGTGGAGAATATGGAGCTTGAACTGGCTACCTTCTGTAACCAGCCAAGAAT